GTTGGCACCACAGTAATACACACGTGTGGCTTTTGGATGAGACGGGCCCCAGCTCTGCTTGGCCTGGCACCCAGCAAGCATGATCATGTGACTGTGTGTGTATTGGTACTGTCGACCTGTGGCTGTTGCTGGTTTGTATCTGTATCTTCTGAAATGATGGGATTCTTGGAGCGAGTCCAGAGGAGTGCCACGAAGATGATCAGAGGGCTGGAGCACCTCTCCTATGACGAAAGGCTGCGAGAACTGGGCTTGTTCAGCCTGGAGAAGAGGAGGCTCCGAGGAGACCTCATTGCAGCTTTCCAGTATCTGAAGGGGGCCTACAAGGGTGCTGGGAGAGGACTTTTTACAAGAGCCTGTAGTGATAGGACAAGGGGTAACGGGTACAAATTGAAATCAGGGACGTCTAGATTAGATGTCAGGAAGAAATTCTTCACAGAGACGGTGGTGAGGCACTGGGACAGGTTGCCCAGAGATGTTGTGGATGCCCCCTCCCTGGATGTCTTCAAGGCCAGGCTGGATGTGGCTTTGAGCAACCTGGGCTAGTGCAAGGTGTCCCTGCCCATGGCAGGGGGGTTGGAACTAGATGGGCTTTAAGGTCCCTGCCAACCCTAACCATTCTATGATTCTATGATAAGATGCATTTGAAAATATTTGGTGAAGAACCATGTTGTCAATTTAAAAACCAAAAAACCCCAAACCCCTAACTTTTTATATATGAAGGCAGTTGTTGATGTTGCAGAGGGAAAGCAGACTGAAGGATGTGCTGCCTGTGTCACTTGGCCAAGTGGTCTCAGGCCATCCTGAGAATATTCTTGTAACTCCTCAGATGAACCACTGCTTCAACTGTGCAGTGGTCACCACCACTGTGACAAGTGCCCACAGGGACAGATCTGTACGAGTAAAGAGTTACTTACTGCCCATATCATCCTCATTCTAATGAGAAAACAAGTGGATCAAGGTGCTCTTATTCTTCCTGTTGCAATCACTAGTTTAGCTGACTAAGCAGCATGTCGTAGTATTGGGGACAGTAAGGACTTCATGATTGAATGTTGTGCAGCTTCTAAAGAAAGATGTTCTTATCCTGTATTTTAAAATTCCAGGGGTTAAGCGTCTTCCCTATTTACAAACCAAGTTTGAACTGCTTTTGATAAGCCTCAGTAAAATCCATGCAATTTCTCTGGATTAGGTAGTTCTGGAAGTAAGTATTTGCATGTCAAGGGCAAAGTTACTCTCCAGACATAGTATATCTGAAGTTGTCGAACTTGTCATTTGGTCATCACAGAGTCAAGTGAGAAGGGAAAATACACTTACTATATGCATTTGCAAAATTGAAATAACTTGTAATATTACAAGTAATTACACCTAATATTTGATTTTTAAGGTCCCTTCCAATCCAAACCATTCTATGATTCATTCTGTATTTTTAATTGTATGCTTCTACATAGACTCAGACGTGGGCCATTCTGTAGACTGTGTGACTAGACATAATTTGTAGAAGATATGGATTTGTTTATGAATTTGCTTGCTATAGACTAGAAATATTATTTCAAAGCTTATTTAAGAGATTGTGTCTCAAGGTTTTTCTTGTGTGTTTTTTAGTAATTTGGATGAAAAATGCAGTCTACTTCTGACAGCTCAGTGTTCTGCCATAGTTACTGCTGTCTCTATGCCAAACAGGTCTGCCAATTTGCATTTTTCTCTTGAATGTCTCCTACTTAGTGCAGCACCATGTGTTTATGCAAAGACAGACTGAATTGCTGGTTGGTAAGCTGTATCTTTTAAAGTGGTGAGCAAGTTAACTCTTTGATGGGATGATAATTTTTATTGCCGCATTACATGTGTCATTTTAACTTGCTCACTTGTTTGACTATTAAACTAGCATCAAAAGAGGATAAACTGTCTTCCAAACTATCAATCCTTACCTGTAGATTCTACCACTATCAGATATTGGTTGTGGTTCCTCTAAATAAGCTAGCATACGAAGATATGTATCAATACTAATGAAAAACAGGCTAAAACATATCCTGTGAAGAGCCTTAAACATTTTGTGGTGGTTATTGTTTCTCTCCTGTAGTAACACTGCTTTTTCCACAAACCTGTATTATTTGACATGATAGTTATGGAAGTCTTATCATACACGTTTTGTGCTGTAAGAGACTGCTAAGTGGCAACTCTGCGGTGGAAAGTTGATAGCACTGGCTTTCTGGGACTGACCCGCAGATGAAGTTGTTTCGAAGTGTATCGCAACAGATGGGATTTTGCAGCAGAGCACTCGACATTCTGGGAACTTGTAGCAGCGTGATATGCTAAGCAAACAAAACTGAAGGAAACTCCTCCTGTGTTTGGGATCTTTCAGTATGGCCAATCCATTTGCAGAAAGGTAATAGCTGATGGGAGTTAAAAGTGTGGGAGTTGAAGAGGGTATTCCACCTGCCTTCTAAACAGATCATGGTAGTATCTCACTTGTTTTGAGAGTCACTTCGATACTTAATGATCAAAATGGAACTTAAATATTTGGGTTTGGCATTGTAGTTATTAAAAATAATTTGTTCACGAGGTGAGTGGATCTAGTGTGGTGTCTATCACAACAAATCTGTGTAACTAATGAGAATGTGATTATTAGTCTGAGTAATCCAAACAAAGTTACCTAGAGCTTCAATCTAGACCTAGCTGTGATAAGTGTCTTGTGTAACCTCATCTAAAGGACTTCTGAAAAGCAGTAGAATGATGTGCTGCTCTGATTGCTGGTGCCTTGCCCACGAAATTTGAAGTTGCAATGTGCACACTGCAGTCATACGTTATCTATCAAGTTGGCCGACAACTTGTCCACCCTCTGCTGAAATTAATGATTTAGCTAAATGTTGTCCTTGATGGCCAGTCAGCAAATGCTTTAAAGGATATGTGTGTAGTGGAACTTTACTCCTGTTGTGACTCACATGATTTTGGCTGTTTTCCTTCCACAATCCATAGGTTTACAGAGTACTGGTGCTAACACTACATACCAGAGGATGCAAGAGATTGCAGCATGTCTGGGGACAGGTTGATCCTGGAAGGGAATGGGAGTGTGAGATAAGCAGGCAATGTAGAGGGATGAAAGGAAGTACCTTGACATTGATTTGGGGATCAGAATGCTGAGTAGGTAGCATCATTGCTGACTGAAACACATTTGACTTCCGTAAAGTAAACTTTAGCTTGTGAATCTAGACTTATGTGGATGAATTTGGACTAAGCTCAAGGTTAGCATGAAGAGCAGTGGAGATTTTATGCAGTGAACACAATGTGTCAGAAGTCTTGTGCTCTTTTTAAGAAAATAGGAATCCAGAATTTTAAAAAACTAAACCCAATTTAGTTAAAGAATAGTAACAGAACCACCCTCCGAGATGGTTGGACACGTTCCACAACGTTAATGTGCATACCCTTCCCATGCATGGGTTTGAGCAATATAGAGAGGCTAGCTACATTAATACCTGCTTTTGAAAAATGACTTTCATCCCGTGCATGACTTTTGGTTATTCTATAAAATACAGACATCTTGAATTAATTCCAGACTTTCTGCCATGTAGACTCTGTGTATGTTTGTGTGTAACACTGTATGGGAGAGGCAGTGTAGTATTATTTCTCTTTCTGTGTGTTTTCTGGTCTGTATCATTTCTCCCTTACTTAAGTAGTTTCTGTTCCAAGATGGGAGGAAGTGTATAAAGAAAAAAATGTACTTCTGGGAATAGAACAGTGACACAGTGCATGTGTTTCTTTCAGTCATGTTTTTCATGGTGACTTTACATCAGTAGCATGAAGTGATAAGCAACTGTTCATCTAAGCCGACCATTTTGTCATGTCGGGGGTATCAGTCAGTGTATTTGTTTCATTTATTTCTTCAGCTGTGTGTGTAAAATATCTGTCTTCCACATAATCCTATAATGCAGAGGCTTGAATCAGTTCATAGATGAAAGTCATAAAATGATTTGAAAATTTTGGAATGTATTCATCAGTTGCATGAAAGATGCTTGCTTTTGTCGATTTCAAAATCTAGTGTAGAAGAGATCCATGGAAGGCCATAATGCCATAGGCTGAAAGAAATACTTAACTCCAGTCTCTTGGAGTTAAGACATCCTAAAAAAGGGCCTTATGCTGCTATAGAACAGAACTATCTCATTAACTTCCATGTGTTGCATGAAGTTTGATGTCACCAACTTGAAGGCAATAAATTTCTCTTAAATGCTACAGATGGAGTACTGGAATTTCCACATGAATAAGTAACTCAAGAAGCATACTGCAACTTGCTCATAGTCCTTTTAGAAAAGAAAAAAATTAAATTATCCTGATGTTACACCCCAGTATGACTTTCTGAGACTTGGTGCTTTCAATGAGCTTTTCCTGGTTTTTAAAGACCTTCTTTTTTTTTTTTTTAAAAAAAGTGATAGTATTAAGCAGTAGCCTCAAGTTTCAAAGCAAAGTCACTGTCACTTTCAACTCAGTTTTCTCCTTGTCCTGCTCCATCACCCTAAAATGTTATTTTATTTGATGAGACAACTTGCTGAGTGTTACTAACCGAGGGGAACTGTCGTAACATGCTGCTTAAATTTTGCAAAGATTATGTGACTGTCAGGGTAGTTGTAGAAGGCAAAGATGGGTGACTAAACACTTATTAAGAAGTAAGTCTTCCAGGTGGTATGAAGAAATCATGGTTTGAAAACCAATCTGAATAATTAAGGTGAGAATCCAGTGAAACTTTCCCAGTGGAATTTCCCTGCCTGGTGTTGTGGCAAACGTTTGTCTGTGCTCCCAAGGTAGCTGCCGACTGGGAGCCGAGCATATCTGCAAGATCACTTTATCCCCTCCTTCTGCCCTAATGTTTTCTCTGAGCGTGTAATCCTGACTGTGCTGTGTGGAAGTTCTTTGTACGTTTGGTCTGAATCATCATGGCACATCTGGAATGGGTGTGAGCTCTCGGGAAATTTAACAAGCACTTACAAAATCTGTTGTCCTATTTCCGCAGCTTTCAAAGGTGACCAGTAAAGTTCTCTCTGAGCAGCCAAAAAGCAGACAGCTCATGACTTCTGATCAGGACACTAAAGTTGTGGCTGGACCGCAGGTGCAGCAAGTACAAGAAGTTAAAGACGGTTCTCATCTTGTAAGTATTATAATTATGTATAACCCTGGTTTAAGTGTTGCATGAAACAGAGGGTTTTTTTTTTTACTATGTCTTAATGAAAATTACATTTCAGAACATTTTAGAAGACAGGTGGCTGATAGCATTGCAACATACAGTGCTGGAACAGAGCTATTGAAGGTGGCTAATTCTCCATACTAAGTGGGAGCCTCAACTTAACTTTTCTTCAGCCCTACAGGGGATTTAAATAAACTGCAAGTTGCAACAGTTTGCACTCATTTAAGATACAGGGCTTTTTAGGCTATGCAGGAATGGTATTACCAATCTCAAATAATGTTCTAGCTCACACATTAAGTGAGGAAAATGCACTTGGCATGTATGTGTAATTGAAAAACTACAAACCCATACAAACAGGAAATTGCTTTCTGTAACAGGGATTTTGCTCAGTCAGTTCTGCCAAATGACGTGCTACTGCTTCTGTGCTACAGTGCAGGATTCAGTAAGTTGCTTTATGGGATGCTTTTGGCAGATCATATAGCAGATAGTAGTTTGTGTATAGATGTTGCAATAAATGTTACATGTGTCTTCAAGAAGATTGAACATTTGATTTGTGTGTAAGCTCTACTCATAACATTATATTTTCATCTCTGATTGTTAAGTGTATATTGGCAGGAATGTTTCCGCTTGGGACATCTTGAAGGGTTTGGTTTCCATGTATGTTCTGCTAGGCACTTAGCCTGTGCTGTGCTAAGCAGCAGATACTTGCTGCTTCAATTATCATAGAATCACAGAATGGTTTGGGTTGGAAGGGACCTTAAAGACCATCTAGTTCCAACCCCCCTGCCATGGGCAGGGACACCTTCCACTAGACCAGGTTGCTCAAAGCCTCATCCAGCCTGGCCTTGAACACTTCCAGGGATGGGCCATCCACAGCTTCTCTGGGCAACCTGTTCCAGTGCCTCCCCACCCTCTCCGTGAAGAACTTCTTCCTGATATCTAATCTAAACCTCCCTGTTTTCAATTAACTTAACCGTGCAGTGGCAGCAGTTATTTGCTGATTCAACTTACCTTTCAGCAAATGTGAAGGAGCACTTTGGAAAACACTCTAAACTTGGCTTTTCTTTGCTAAGCAAACTGGTGGGTTTTTTTGTTTTTTTGTTTCCCCCTCTCCCCCTCTTTTAATTTTGGGTTCTTTTCTGTTTTATCTTTTTCAGATGTGAACTTTGTCTGTTTGACAGTAGAGAACCAAGTTGAGCCCAGTTATGTCATACTTTTGAAAGTTGAGCATTTGTGGGTTTTCTTTCCTGTACTCAGAATGTTAATTCCAAGAAACCAGTGTGTAAGATTAAGAGGCTTTTGCAGATTTGCTTTGAAAGCTTGGAACTGTTAGTTCACTTTCAAAAGGTGCATTAGTATTAAACGTGGTTTGATTAGTCTGCACATTGATGCTAGTTATTTCAGTTGGGTATACTAGGAATTTTATAAAACTGCATATAAACTTGGTCCAAATCTCGACTGCTCCTTCTTTGTTAATTGAAGAAAGAGAAACTATTTCTTTCAATTTCAGAAAACCTGTGAGCTCTTTTCCTTAATAGAGGAGGCTAATGTCAAGGTAGATATCTTGGAATGTATCCATAGTGTTAATGGTGCATTTTAAATACTAATTCTTTGAGATTTAAAGCTTTTCCTTTGCTTAATACTTTATTCCAAGAGGATGAGACCTGTAGCTGATTAATCTTTCCAACATTATACCAGTATCATACTTTTAAATGCACAGCATAAGAAGGTCATTTTGTTGTATGAGAATCATTGGTGATATGCTGAATATTGCTCATCATATGCTGTTAAGTGTTGTTTTCAAGATGGTCCCTTCCATATTGGCCTTCTTGCATGACTGTATTTTGTTGGCGCTTCAGGACTTCACTTCCAAGTTTTGGGAACGAGACTGTAGTTAGAGAAAGACTTCATGGAGTATAGGAAGAAGTTAGCAAACTAAAATCACTAAGACACTTTCATCTTTCCAAAAAATGTGATAAGAAGGAGAAAAACTTCTGAAGCCCTGATTCAATTGCAATTAGCAAGTACATGCTTCAGGTTAAGTGAAAACTTACCTGCTGTTTTTGTGTCTTAATTATTTTCAGACCAGAGAGTTGGACTGCATAAAGGTACAGATTCATGTCTGTGGTGATCCCTACTTCAGTGTGTTTGATATGGGACCATACTGCCATGCATCTAGTGAGATTTCTAGGAGTCTATAAAAAGACTGATTTGCTGAATTCCCTAGGTATTTTGGCTATGCTGTCCTACTAGGATCTGATAATACCTAGTCTGAGTGCTTTTGTAGGCAGTTCAGGAGCAAAGTTGTTGTAGGATTTCTACTGAGAATTTTGATATACCTCTGTAGAACCTGGGAAAGTATCTCCCTGTATGCTAGTCTTAATTCTGAAGTGTTTATATGAAGTATTTTTTTGTCATATTTTTACATATTAACAAGAAATTTTTCTAATTAAAACTTCAGTCAGCCTGTTTTCTGTGGCAGGAACAAAACTTAGCACACCTTCTACTGTTAGTCATGTCGAACAGTTAGTAGTGACTGAATGAAAAGGGAAGTTTTGATTTTGATGGAACCCATCAGAAATCACTTCTGGGGGTTGCTTAGGTTAATGATAGTGAGGCCACTTGTTTACTAACAGTTTTCAAAGGCTTAACCTCGCTGTGAGGGAGGCCAAGTAATTTCTCTGCCTTGAAGTAGCTATAAAACTGTAAGCTATTTAGTGCCTAATGTAGATTGAGCACAAGTCTAGTATGATTCATTTCCAACAATAGCTCCTCTTGAATTTTGCTGACTTTAGTAGTAGTTAACAGCAGAATTTCAGTAGCTTTGTATGCAAGTTAATTGAAGGAAATTGGCAACTTGAGGATCCATGTAGATTTTTTGTTAACAGTAGCTTACACTTAAAAGCTGGAGGTAGGTATTTAGAGGTTACTAGCAAATTCTTAGCTTTGATAAATGTGGGAGTTAAAAGCTGGAAATACCAGCATGTTTTTTTAAACTTAGAGGCAGACTTTGTCACTTCAGGTGACATCTGCCATTGGATTTTCTTTGTATCCTGATTGATAATTACTCTTTGAGAAAGCCCTTGTCAGACTGGGCCGAGGAAAGTCAGCGTTTAAAAGTATTTCACTCCCTTTTGACTCACTTACTGTTTCCTTTTTGTTCTATAATACTTTGCTGCTAGAAATTCAAGGTTACCCTCTCAGGGAAGAGACCAAGACCCAAATCCCATGGTAGAGGTAGTTTATATGATCTGTCTCTGCCAGACAGGACTTAACTAACCTTCAGTGCTAAATGCACAGTCTTTTTCCTTGCTCATTGATCCTAAGCTCTTCCCTTGCCATGCCCACATTTGAATATGTGGCCCCTCAGAGCAATTCCCAAGGACCAAAGGATTTTCTTTCCTTAGTTGGCTGAATCCAAGACCTGATCTGAAAATCTGAAATTAAGATTAGAAAGGATTCTTGTCATCAAGCAGGAACAGTTTTCTGCAAATGTATGTTCCATTGTTACGTTGGGGCCATTTAAACTTGCTGTCTGGCCATATGAGCTCCCATTCTCTCTAGTTGAATAATTATCAGGTGTTGTCATGGGCTTCTGTGAATGGGAAATGAAACTGATGTGGTGTGCTGGCTTTTGTCAGTGCTTATAGGTGCTGCAAATACAAGCTCTATCATAGTGTTGGCTCTAAACACGAGAAAAATAGCTAGCAAGTCAGAAAACGTAAGATGGGATTTAATTGTACTTCCTAAAATTTTCACAGGAGGTAATGCAGAAGGGCTCAGAGCTGCTAGGTTATGCTGTTCAAAAATCCTTTTGCATCCCATTCAAGAATAAGCTTCACAGACTAAAAAGCGACTGAGGAAATTAGATTTACTAGTTTAGTATAGGAACCTGTGTAACAGTTGAGTGAAAATTCAGTATGGCACATAATCCTCAGATCATTTGACAGTTCAGTATTACATACAGAATGTGCCGGTTAAGAGTTAAGTAGCAGTTTGTATAACGTGTAGGTGATATTTAAAGCTATTGATCTTGAATTAAAAAATGAGAGATGGGAAGATTAGACTTTAAGCTGAACATGTGTGGTATCAACATCAATGCTTCTCAGTGTTTGCTCTTTCTGTCACATTATTGTAGATTTAGACTGTAAGAAAATTGCTGAATAGTTCTGCACCTGTCACTGACTTCTAATGCTAATATTTAATTGCTTTAATCTATAAAATCTGTATTTAAACCCTTAGCAGTCCATTTAACCTTGATCTATTGGAGGGAAAGTTAAGCAATCTGACCAGCTGTTTCCAAAAACCTGCAATAGTGGCATTGTGATGTCTGTTGTGATGCAGCTTTTACCCTTTTCCCTTGACTGGTGGTGGTCAGGACATCAGGTATGGCCTGGGAGTGCAGGATAATCATTCCTCCTTCAGGACTAGTTACAGTTTCATGACTGTTACAAAAAAGGGATAGATTGACTGAGATGTCAGAAGGTGGTAAGGACTGTTTTCACGTGTGCTATTACAACTTTAAAGCTAGACTGTATTTTAAAACTTAAGTGTGTAAGAATATATATGGGATAAATCCTTATTCCTTGAGAAGGAATAGGTAGGTACAGAAATGGAGGTAGGTGGGTAGGTATAATCCTATTAATAAGCATGTTGACTTCTTGCCTTCTGCATAGGTGTTTGCAGGACATGAACTAAAATACTAAAAATAAAAATTGTCCCAAAGTGCTGCTTCAGAGCAGTTTTGTTTCACGGAGAGGGAATACCTATTTAGGCTTGGAGTGGATGAGAAATATGCCAGAGCCACTATGTATAAAGGAAAAAACCAAAATCAACAAAGCTCACCCCTGAGCTGAGCTGGGTTCTAAAGGGCAGAGCACAAATTCTGCTCGTTTTCAAGTGCTTTCCAAGTCAGGTGGTGGTGGTCAGCTTAGCCAGGAGGCTTTTAAGACTCACTGTGTCTC